TGTAAGGATAGAGGGTCAGTTTTGAATTGAATCTAAGTTCCAACGACACGAATGCAATCTTAAATAAAATTTGTCTCTTTTTCTCGTTGTATCCGATTGAAAAACTACGAATTACTGATTGGAACTTATTTCCAGATGAGTACAATAAGTGGAATAGCCAGAGCAATGGAGACCAGAACATGTAACAAAAATAGAACTAATAATCGATAATTCCAAGGCTTTTTCAGATCGTCAACATAGCCATTTCTTATGTAAGCACGTGCTGGTAATCTGAAATCAGTTGGTTTAATTCCATTATTCTTCTTGTCTATCATCATAAATATTTTCCGAAGACGAAATCGACTGATCTCCAAAATAGCAACAATGAAAACAACCCACCCTGACCAAATGGAAAGAATGACAATCATACCAGTACTATTCGAATTCAAATGAACTATTATAATAAAGATGGTTGGTATCGAAAGAAAAAAAGCCAATGCTCCCGTAAGTCGATGAAGCCAGTTATAAATGAAACGGTATGAACTCTCTACATGACAACGAAAAAGTGCCATCCATGCTTGTAAAAGAGCACAACAGACAATAATACCACCGAGAATGGAGTGAACGAATGTAAGACCTTCATTGGACTCTACCCATCCTCCTTTTGCTTGCACCAAAATAAAGAAGAAACCGAGCAGAGTTGTAACAGTAGTTAAGCAAGCAATCAAACGATGGATTTGGAACCATATTGTTTCACCGCACAATTTATCTTGCGAACCAAAGTGTATCGAACGTCCATAACGTGCAAATATAATAGCAGTCGAGGCAAAGACCATCCATGCGAGGACCATCACAGTGCCATGAGCATTTTGAAAAGTATCATCTTCTGATTCAGTTTGTGCTTCTCCTTCGTTTTCTATCAGCGTTGACATCTTCAATAGAAATAATATTCTCTGTCGAGTCGAGTATTCACTGCAATAAAATGACAGATGTACTCTTGATGATTGTTTATATTCACCTGTAGAAGCATGGACGAAAAGTAACGGAAATGCACTTTTTCATTTCATTTGATGCATGAAAATGCAGCATCTTAATTTGTCATGTATACGAAGACCTGACTTTGTCGACAGAAAATATGGACAAGGACGTGACAAAATAAAATTTCTGCTTGAATTCACATTAATTACGCGCCAAGATAAGGGCATTTTTGTAATGAGTGTAAGATTCGTTAGTTTCCTCAAGGTAAGTTCAGTTTCATTTAATAGCACTAGCTTGCTCAAGGTAAAAGAAAAAAGTAAGAGAGCAAAACAGCACCAGAACTCTCAGAAGAGAAGATATGTGTATATGAGTGAATTTCAAAATTATTGTACCGTTATATTCTTATAAGTAAAGTTTCAACAAGTGGAGATCTTCTAAATCAATCTTTATGATGTTTCAGGTTATGTCCCTCTCAGAAGTTCTCACTACCACACAAGAGATCACAAATTTATCTCGAACCAATCTCGAGATATTGGATGCGCAATGTTAGATACTCTGATTTTTATTACCATTTATTAGAAAAAAGGATAATATAACCGATTGGTTCTATTGTCATTTGAGCTTCGAAAACTCGCGATATTATAGTAAACAGTCTACACTTCTTGGATATGAAACTGATTGGCTCTGTCAACGCGTTTCTTATTGCATTGTTTTTCTGAATATCATAAGTAACAGTCAATCCTCGATTTTGTCATCTAACGACACATTTAAAATTGGTCCGGCTGATGTTGAATGGAAGTCAATGAATGGGAAATAAAACCTTGAAATACCAACTGCATGATGACGAAGAAAGACCTCATTGTTTAGCCATCCGTCAATCTTCTTTTTTCTAAATGTTGAAGACGCAGTTTCTATCATCGAATATCAGCTGAAGCCATGAATATATCTTTGGGATTGATTCTTAGAGATCGACAGCAAGCAAAAACTCAATGATTAAGTTAACAATAGACATTTTTTATCACTACCTTCCAATCTTCTTTTTTTACCACCTAAAAGATAAAAGAAGACATGCTTTCAAGCATTCAAAACTAATAATAAAAAAATTTAGAATTCCATCTAAATTCATTCAAATTCAAAATACGCTTTATTCTCTATTCACATAAGTTTAAATCTATTCAACACTTATCAACCGTAGTTCTGATAAACAAGCGCAATTTGTTATGGAAAATTAAAAAAAGTACTACAATGTAAATTGTTTGCAACTGAATCTTCCTCTTTATCATTTAATAGAATATGTGTTTATTTGTATTATGCAATGATACTAATCATGTTGCTTCATATAAAAATAAGAAAATGTTTTTGATTAAACATTTTATCATGAATGAGTCTTTCCAAGAATGAACAAGAATAGAAATTAACCTTTTTCTTTTTATGAATTTTAAATAGATTTTCTATATTTTTTATCTGATTTCTCAATTCAGCAGTCGTACATCTTTCTTTCTTTACAGCTTCACGTATGCTTTGAACTTTATCAAATAATACAATAGCATCAAGTTTTCCTTTGACTGTCTATTGATGTCGTTTGTGTTTCATAGATTTTTCTTGGAAACCAACATTCACAATACATGTTATGAACAGCACTACCTGATGAACTGGAAGATAATAATGGTGTATATTGATCAGGCGATTCGAAAGTTTGATAATCATGATTGTCGTTTTCCGATTCCAATTGAAGATATGTTAAGAAACATATTAATTCCATTTCACATTCATCAATGGTCAAAGCAATTTCAACACTTGAATTATCATTAGAACTGTCAGTGATCGAAATTTGAATCTTCATCGTCACAAGAAAATACAATATGTTCTTCCTGCGCATTTTATATATTCACTAGATTTATATTACTGCTGATAATTACAAATGAGATTTAATATTAATTGTTTTCTTCCTCTTCGATCATTTATAGGCCTTTCTCTTTTTCTCTCTCGTTTACATTCTAGCTGGAAATAGTTTTTTCCTTCTCCGAAGAAAATATATGAGCGTTATGTGTGTAGAGAAGCTGTTACTTTCTCTTCTATTCTTTCGGAACTTTTATCGCCCAATAAACATCATTCAGCTAAACTTCAACGCACTATTATTTTCTTCGAACATATACGTGAGTTCCACAAAATAAATGTTTAAATGAAGAGTTAAAGTATATGCCTGTATCTCTTAAATTGAAACACGTGTTACATTTTTTCAAGATAGAGAGAAAACTTTTCAAGATTTCAATTTACTTAAAATTAATCAATTACCTAACTCCAGTTGAAAATATCACACAAGATTTATCTTACTTGGGACAATGTGGCCCACTGGCTGGTCACATCAAAGTGTACAATGAGTAGCCAGCCATAAAAACTTAAAATGCTCAGAACATTTTTTCGTCTGTCAAACTTTGTGAAACTAAATGTACTGATCATTTTGGTAGAAGAAATTTTTGGATTCCACGAATAAATGTTGGAGATAAGATCAAAATACTGGAAAATGTCATCACCATAGCGACAGGTCAATTTTACGTTTTTCACTATTTTGACTCTATTAGTACCATTTCTTGATCATGTTTAAACTTTTCTTACTGAAACGATCAATACAGATAGGATCACAGAGTTTGATAGGGGAAAAAATTTTCTGCGAACCTTTGACTTTTATGGTTGACTACTGAAGGAAGTACACAATGATATCACTTCTAAGTTCTGTTTCCGGTGGGCTATCACTTGAAATAAAACTCTCTTGTTTTTGTTTTTGCATTTGAGATCTGTTCTCTGGAAAAATATTTTTGACAATGCTGTATCGTCAAATTACTTTCAATGTGTTCAACCCAAGTAATATCAGTTATTGCTACATCCTCAAATTAAATGAATGTGACTACATTATTTAGTTTCACATACAGATAAAAGACCAAGAAAAGATAGGGATTAATGCAGTAGAAATCTCTGTAATATTATTAGATATTTCCTTTAAACGTTATACTTGGATAATAACGTGCCCTGAATTCAAAATTTCAGTAAAATTGTTTTTTTTTATGTAAGCTTCCGTAGAGCACTAGCAGCTGATTACGAAAAATTGATTTTTTGGTTCTAAAACAACTAGTTTTTAAGTGAAAACAATCTCATAACTTTAGGAGAAACCATTTTTTCGAAAAATGCATTATTTTTCAAAAATATGCGAAATTTTCTATCTTACTCACATTTTAGGATGTAGCATTAATAACTAAATATAAAGATAATTTTAAGTCGATGTTAACTCAAAAAGCATTTTGATGGCAGCGACTCGGTTTCCATTGAATGTAATGCTTATCAATCATTTTCGAAAGCGTATCGAGTTTTTCTGATTCATTGAAGAAGTGAAATATTTTGCATTATTCGATTCATCATTCCATCAGTCACAAAAGTAGATATTGTTTTTCTTTCTACATAGTTTGATTGCCGAGAGAATTCATATTTTCTAAATTCTGGGCCCAATACCTAGACTTCTGATAGTTATTCTTAATTTTCCTAATGAATTTAACAAGGTAAAATATTTCACTTCTTCACTGAATCGGAAAAACTAGATAGATTTACAAAAAAGATTGATAAACATTGCATACAATGGAAATCGAGTCGCTGCCATCAAAATGCAATTTGAGTTAAAATCGATTTAACGTAGTCTTTGTACTTATTTTTTAACGCTACATTCTAAAAATGGAAATATAATTGAAAATTCCGCATATCATGAAAATTATGTATTTTTCGAAAAAACGGTTCTCTTCAAATTTATGGGTTTTTTTTTGCTTAAAAACGTTTTTTCAAAAACGTTTAAAACAATAGAATATTGCAGAACATTTTGTACACGAAAGACAGAGAAAAAAAATATTCTCTTATTTATGTATGATGTACAATCAGCGTTTTCTTTTCATGCATAACAGTTTATATTTGCAAATATTTGCTCGTTTGATTCATATAATAAAAACAAGTCAAAAAATACAAAGGTGGTTATTAATAATCAGATTTAATCTTAGATAAAAATGGGCACTAATGCAGATGTACAATTTTCAGTTGGCGAACAAAGTGAAGCAATTCGTAAACAATTTTGGTCAACAAATTATAAACAATGTCCGATATGTAAAAGTGAAAATATTGCTGTTCATTGGTGGTGTTGCGGATGTAGATTTAATGAAGACGGTAAGTAGTTTACTATTTGAAAAATGTTTTGTAATTATTGTACACCTAAGAAAATATTTTGAATATTTTTCTTGAATTAGCGAGATCATTTTATGTTTAGGTTAGGGTACAGTTATTTATCAATGTCTTGGAAAAGAAAATGTGAATGATGTCAAAAATTTAGAATGGGATAAGACAACAAGAAATCTACCTGGTCAATATGGTTGTGGTTTTTATACATCATTTCATTATGATGAAGGAGGATCGGAACCACAACAATTTGAAACAGATGGCTGAACCAAATGATAATCATTTTGACAAACTTTCAAGTTTTCTTTTATGTCATGAATAATGAAACTGATTGATTTTCTTTTGCATAAATTTTCATAAATAACTGAAACGAGAGTTAAATCAAACTAATCTAAGGAATTTCAACAGTTTTATGTCAAAATCATCTCGATATATACCCGTGATATAATTAGAAGAAATTGTTCACAGCCAATAAGAAAAGCAAAGTCTCTTTTCTTTTTCACTAAAATGGCTTCCATCTATTAGTAGCCATTTAGATTAAGTTCTGCTTTCTTTATATCGGAGAATATCAATTTCGAATCTTTCCTATCGAATTATATCTAAACAAGAGACAGGAAACGATATATATGCAGATATTATTAATAATTTCGTATTGTTGTCTAGAATCAGTAATGTTTGCTTGCTCGCTGTCTCAGTAAATTAAAATGAGAAGTTTGATATGAATGTCTCACATCGTTAACTGAATCACGAAATGATTCAAACTTATTTCATTCACTTGCTCAGTCTTTCCGAGACAGCAACCGGATTTTAAACAGATTGAAAATATCAGACATGAAATTGATTCAGTTCCAAAAAAACAAAAAGGATCTAATTCCATCTCTGGAGTATATTTATTTATTTATTAGTTAATAAAATCAATATGATAACATGTATGACACGTTCAAATGAGGTTATTAAAAAAAAGACGATACGCCGTATTATAATTGATATTCAATCTAATCCAGACAACATTTTAAATATCTACGTACAAGTTGAATGAAACTGAAGAGTTCGCCTGTCTTGAATATTTGACGCAAATGAATTTTACTTTCCACAAATCACTGGAATTATGCATTTTACAATGAGGCTTCTAATTGTAGTTATCAAAATCGGATTGTATACAACAAACGAGTGATTTGATCGAAAATAAAGTCTTCATCACTTTAAAGTTTGTGCTTTCTGCGAGATAATTGCTGATATAATTGAAAAGTGACCACTTTAAGTGCGAATTTTCTACTATTGAAAAAATGTATATAAATATTAGTTAGGGACTCAGCATTGCAGAAAAAAATCCGAATTACCTTGTTCTTATCATCTTGAACAGTGCTGTGTATGATTACTGTTCAGTTCATCTTCCATTTAGTTCTGTCACGCGGCTTCTCTTTGTTGTTCTCTCTCTCTCCATGTAAAGGATATGAATGCTAGTACCTGTGAGTTTTTCCTTTATTCACATTCATATCGGAAATGTATTGTTTTGTCGTTAGTTTTGTCCTTGAACGTTTTTCATATACTATTATCTCTTGTTAGTAGCCTTATAAGTCTTTCACTTTTTTTGCATACAATAAAATGTCTTCATCTCACTGGGCGAACGTCTCAAGGCAAATTTTCTTCAACAGGTTTTTGCTGTTCTTTCCTTCGCTATTTTTTTTTCGGCCAAATTAATACTATACTCTTCATTCTTTTCGTATCCCCGAAGAGTAATCATCTGACGGGCACAAGGTAAAACTGCTGAGCATATTTTTATCAGTTTGGCTCGATTTTACTGGATCAGTTCAGGTCTGATTTTGCGAAGTGGATTAGCCACACTTCTATTTTGATTGCGAACATTTTTTTACATTCGTTGTAGTTTTTTGTTGTCATAATGTGAAGAGTGCTGTTTATGTGTTTATTAAAGCCACACTCCTTTACAAGCGCTCATCCCCATGTGTTGAAGCTTGTACTGAAAGGATAGCTTTGCAAAACGTTTTGTTGCAATTGATTCATCAAAATTACGGTTATGATAACAGTAGACAGTGTCGGTTTTTATTGAATATTCGAGTCATGGTCGGCTATGGTAGTCTTGTGATTGGAAAAAACGATTTTTATGACTAATAAGTTAAGCGAATAAAATCGGTCGAATTGGTGGATGACCAGCAGAAAAACTAAGATCGCATTGTGAAATATCACATCTAGCAGCTTTTTGCAATTGATCTTGCAGTGGTGAAGTCGAAATATGTTAAAGTATAGTATATTATTCTTTTTCTGTCTGTTCATTGGATGCGATGAGAAGTTCAGATGAAGCAACTAACAGAGAGTAGCAATATATCAAATGACAGCAGAGAACGAAAAGAAAATTGTTGTTTCTTCTTCATACGAAATTGACCAGAATACTATTTGCAGTTGGTTATGCCTCTCTGACAATTCAACTCATGGAAATTTCATTGGTCAACAGATAGTTGGCGATAAATTAGTCGTATTACACATAAATGATATTACACGTAGCAAAATTGTTCTTCCTTTTATCTCTCTTGCATATTGACAAGCAAAAACAAAAATGAATTCATCATAGTCGTCATTTCTCTAGGAATATTTTAAAGAAGAATCTTTAATGTTCAAATCACTACAACATAAACTCGAACCACATGAATGAGTCAGCGAAAAATCTTTTTCCCTATAGAATAGGTCAAAAATATGCAACTGTTGAAGTTTTTTTGTGTCCTGGGTCGTCTTTTTTAAAACTTTTACAATTCTGTTCATCTAGGCAAGTTGAATGATGGGATTTGAATGAAAACAGCTATATGAATTATCAATTACTTGAATTCTAAAAGTTTTCATAATGTTTACAATGTTTCATTATATCATGAACGATACCAAGAGTAAAATGGAAACCTATTAAAACTGCTTTTGTTGTTAAAACAGATTCCATCAATGATGTTATCCATACAAACATGCCATAGACACCTATTAGAATAACAGCTAAACATAAAAGAATAAACAGCATCAAAGATGCTCGTTCATGACGACATGTTAAAACTTCAACACATTTCACCCATATAATGTCGCTCAAATATCGGTGACGTCGTGAATCCCAGCAAGCTAATGTCCATAGTATTAAGTAGCCCATGCCACATAATGATATAGCAATACCAATATAAGTATGATGGAGAATGAACAATGATGCTTTGGTGTGATGTGGTAGACACAATTGAGTGTAGTCAAAAATTGTGATAAAATAGGTCGGGAAAATAAATGAACCTTTTTGAAGAAATTGAGAGCCGATCGATTTCATCAGTTTGAATATACACGAATCGTTCTCTTCGACAGATTCATAGTCTTCATGATGCTGCATGCATTGATATATTAATGTCAAAGCTATGTCAAATATGCTGAGAAGTACAGCAACGATTGTACTCAGCCAAAAGACAGTAACGAACAGAATATTTTTTCTTCCTTGCTTGCTAATGATATTATTATAAACAGTTGTTACATCAAAAGTAAATAGAGCGTTTGCTGAACAATTTGTGGTGTCATTCATATTTGCTCTGATGATATAGTAATCCGAACTTCTATTTGCAACATGGTATACTACATATGGATCACGGTTTTCGTAAATCTTATAATTATATACGTTTGAAACAATGAAATAGACGGTTAAACCAATATTGACTAGTATCATTATTGGAAAAATAATTTTTCTTGCGAAAAAACTATTTTTGATGCTATTGCATAATTCACACATGGTTCTTGAGTAGATAGCTTATGGTTGTTGTTGTTGTTTATTCTTGTCGATCTCAGGTATATATATGATTAGTGAAGACGAGTGTCCGTTTGTTTTCCATGGATGATAACGTATTAAAGTGAAAAAGAGTCAAGATACTGAAGCTGTTGATAAGAACAACAATGCTTCATTTGATATTAACTAGACATTGCCTTTTACCTGCATGCTATTCTCGTATGTTATGCAAAGTGGGATATCTCTTCAATAGCAACACAATGAGCTACAACAACTTCAATTACTGTTCGATTTTACATTCTCATTTATTTGAACGATAAATAGCACTCTTTCAGAAAAGCCTACGAGAACTAAAGTGACGAGATTGTGATCGAGAATACTCCCTAGTCGAACATACTTATCATAGTTTCATGATACGGCAGAAAGTAAAAATCACCACTGTAGAATGAATACTATAATCCAATGAACTACCACGAAAATAATAACGGTGAAAGAGAGAACAAATCCAGTGAAATCACTTTCAAATATTCCCATAATCACAATTGAATGGTAAGGAACGAAATATCAAGAACAACCATGATCGAATATCGTCAACAATGACCTCGAGATATGAAATAAATTTTATTAATGAGACGCCTTCGAAAAATGTCAATAAGACAGACTGACTATTCAATTGATTTGGTTCATTTTTGACCCCTTGGACTGCAACAGAAATTCAATAAACCAAATACAATGCAATAGCGATATTTACATCTTTTATCGCAGAAATATTTATGTGCCATGCGGTACCCGAATCTACTTATAACTTCATCTGCATTTTATATGCAACTGCATGTTAAAAAAGAGACGCTGAATAAATGCTGAGCAAATAAACTACAACATAATTCACAATGAAACATTATTGATACACATAAGTAAACTGAGTACTAAATTTGATATTTCTTGTCAGAATTCGTTCATTGACTTCTCAGGTTATTCTAAACAGTTGTGCTAGATGTAGAATCCAATTTGTCATCAATTACTGAAATTTTCATTACAATAAATTATCTTATGAATAGCGTATAAATGAGTGAATTAACCACCATTTGTCTTGATAAGTTTTCACTGTATTTACGTATATCGCGCACTTTTTTATGATTATTTGACTGGCCCATATGTTCTATAAACAGAGGCAAACAACAAGTTACTGTTCACTTTGGAGAAAAAAAACTTTCAAGCGCATATAGTCAAGAAAAAGACATTTAACGATTTGAAAACACACATGTGCTAATCGAATGGCATAGAAAATGTCGAAAAAAAAAATGTCGAAAGTAAAAACGTCGAAAAAAAAACGTCGAAAAAGAAAATGTCGAAACAAAAAATGCCGAAATAAAAAAGGTCGAAAAAAAAAGGTCGAAAAAAAAAACGTCGAAAGAAAAATGATCGAAAGATAAACATATCGAAAGAAAAAATATCGAACGTCTAAAATGTCGAAAAGTTCCAAGATGGTCAATATAAACAATTCACTATAAA